GAATGTAATATGATTTCAAAATAGTTACATTGTTGTAAAAAATTATACATTGATGTCATATTATTTAGCTTGTGTTCTACGGGGCGATATTGGCCTAGTTTATATCGTGCACTTGATACGAGTACTATATAACTAGTAACTTTTTATTGAATTATCTTAATTTCGGCGATACGTGTAAACATATACACGATATGAATATTTAGTTAATTATCTTGATGCATATTGTACTAATTTCATATATTATTCTTTAAATACATTGTTGAAATTGATAGAATTTAATAGAAAGTTATTAATTAATACGCGTATCAAATGCTCGATGTAGAAGGGATTCATTCAGTAATTGCTAGTACGCGCGATGAGATAAGGACTGATTATTTTTATAGCACCTAAACCGAGTGGCAGGAGATCGAGAAAACCAGGTATCGATCGAAAACCACGTCAAGCTTACAGTGCAAAACAGTTAGAGAGACTTGAAGCGGAGTTTAAGGTATGACTTGCGGTTTCCCTAATTCCTATTGTTCATACAACCAATTCATTTGACGACATTATAATTTCTTTTCATAAATTTTTCGTCCTCGTAGGTTGATAAATATCTCAGCGTGAGCAAGCGGATGGAGTTGTCCAAGTGTTTGAATCTCACCGAGGTGCAAATCAAGACGTGGTTCCAGAATCGCCGCACGAAGTGGAAAAAGCAGCTCACGTCGAGGTTGAAGATCGCGCAAAGGCAAGGATTATTTCCACCGACGTATTTCCCGACCACCCAGTATCCTCTTCTTCCGTACTATGCGGCGCCTTTGATGTTCGGCACCCCTTTGTCGGACGACGCGAATTCTAGCTTGCCGACCCGATCCGCTGTATCGTCTTCGGATACGGTCTGACGCAGTACAGACTCGAACTACTTGGTCGATCGTCGGCCGGACGATTGCGAAGTGCAATAAGACCTTCCGTTGGCTACTGCAAAGTTCTCGGTGTTGCTCTTTCTTTTTTGTTTATTTGTTTTACCTCATATTCTCATTTTAAGAAATTTAGACACCGTTGATATCATTGTAAGAAATCTGTATTGTAAAGGGTGCAAACTGCAAAGTGACTTCTTTCTTTAAGATTTCTCGATATTATTAAAACTTTGTTATACATAAACGATGATTGTATATTTACGTAACAAGTGTGCAAAAATTTTGGGTTAAGACATGCTCTGAATTCATTCGTGACTTTCTGCGGTAGCGAAGCAAGATTACTCTCTAAATCTCATGGAGTGAAATCTCACTCGAAGAGACTGAAAATTTAGTCTGTCTTGAAAAAAGAGTGATAAGAAAATATACAGCCACTCTTGTTCAAGAGTTTTACTCTTTTTAAAGTGAGATTTACTCTTTTGAAATGAGATTTACTCCGGAGTAAAATCTCAATTCCTTTTTTGGAGTGAGATTCTATCATTTACCCTAGTATTACACTATAAAAAAAGGATTGAGATTTTTTTTGGAGTAAATATTCCAAAGGAGTAAATCCCATTTTAAAAAGATTGAAAATCTGCCACTTTTGAACAAGACTGGCCGTATTTTCACTCATTTTTCAAGACAGGCTAAATTTTCAATCTCTTCGAGTGAGATTTCACTCCACGAGATTTAGAGAATATATTTGAATAACAATTGCATAGGCAATTTATTCAAATTATCAGTTATTTCCTAGATCGATTACTTTTGTTGTATATAAAGTGATAATTGTAGATTTATGTAACATCTCTACGATATGAAAAATAGATGACTGAATTTACTCATAATGTTTTTCAGTACAGAACAGAATAAGATTGCGTTCTGATGACGTAGGGGATAGGCAGTAACTCTAAATTATGATATATTATTTAAATCGATTTCGTTTTATATAAAACGTGACGATTACGAATTTATGTAACGCATACGGAAAAATGTGTGAAAGAGAGATAGACGAAT